CTCTACAAATTTTCACGGCAATTTGTATCCTAATCCCAGCAACCCGGTGGTTTTCCAACTCCAAACCGAAAAACTTGTCATGGTGGATCAAGTATAGGATTGAAACTCGGATCGATACCTAGCGAAAATAACCTTTACTTGTCAACGAGGAACCGAAATATTGTTCATTTTGCCTGTTGGAAGCAATCAATAACAAGGAATTGGAAGCTTCCACCACCATTGAGTGAACTACTGTCGTTCGGAAGCTGCTGAAAATTCAAGGATTCGAAAAGAAGAAAGATCCGGTACCGACATCACGATCCAATGGAAGGCGTAGCAGGATCTAATGTTGGAGAAAATGAAAATGAAAGGTTGAAGGACTACAATTCCAATGTTGTCAGAACATGAAACCACCGGATAGTGATCCTCTGTAAGCTTTAACAATTCTTGGAATCGACCGACCCCATCCAGAGAATGATAACAACATTGTCGGATTGGCCAGTGACATTCAAATGATCAGCGAGTCTTGTGCCAAGTTTGCCGAGCATCACAACTTAACTCCCCCGCTGTGGCCAGGTGCCAAAGCCGTGCGGAACGGGCATGCATTTTACTAATGCACCATACGAATGCCCATAAATGCATCACTAAAGGGCTTAGTAAAAGTGGAAGATAATTCTGAGATAGCAAATTAATGATCGAGGAAGGTCCCACCATCATTGCCAGCTATTTATTTCTACCTATGTGTGTGAATGCACTCGTTAATAAACACACATCATCATACACAGGTTCCACTTTTGCTCAGAAGAGGCGTTGCCGTTACTGTCTCCTGATTTTTGACAAAGTTGCCAGTCTTCTTGATTTGTAGTCTTCGGGTAAATGCTTATTCGCAATCTGCATTCAAAATAGAATCGAAGTCCAAAAGTTCATCGATTTTGGTGCACTGCAACTATTTTAAATAAGAGCGACTACATTAGCAAAAATGACCATCCTAGCGCCCCTCGTTGGGACTTTGTATGGGAGCGAGCTGTCAATTTGTTAGCTTAGTGTCAAACAGTAATGTTATTATTTTGCTTTAAATCTTGATTTAAGAATCGAGATGAAAGTCCATGGGTCCCAAAAAAAAAATATCGTTGTGCTCAGAAAACGCAAACCGATATATTTTTTTGAAATTTAAGAACCCATTAGAAAATCCTCCAATTTATGACAGCAATTTGTTAAAGGGCGTGATTATGTCAATTTTCTTCATTTCAATTGAGATCTCAGCAAAAATGACCTGCTGAGATTCAGCGTTGCTTGCTGAGATTCAGCGATTTTTTACCGAGACTGATTAATTCACTCAGATCGTGAACTCCTGTGTGAAAATCTCGGTTAAAATTAGCAATATTTAGCACACAAAACTAAGTGCGTACACGTAAGAATCTAAATGGACTGAGAATAGAAACACTTATACACGGTGAATTAGAACGACCGAAATTTAAGTTTAGTTTACTCATAAATCACATAACGTGCAGGAACTCAGGGATGGATAACTTTGCCTCATGTTTTTCGAGGTTTTTCCAAGTTTTGTTTGTTTGTTTTGAATATGAGAAAAGTAAGGATTAGATTCACTCATTCTATTGGTACTACTCCTAGACTGAGTAAAATTTTCGTCAATTTTCCTCATTTTCCGATAGATTTTTCTTGAGGGCTTCCACAGAAATGCATTAGGCAAATTTAGTCATCATTGAGTTCCTGCACTTTCTGTGATTATTAGTAAACTGTTGGGGACACAAGAAACCCTAACCAGGAATTACCACAGGGCTCACCGTTGGCAGCGTCGGCTGTCACTTGGATGGACGTCACTTGTGTGTCATTGTAGAGTACCAGTCTGTAATTAATTGTCTCGTTAGAATGAAGAACAATCTCTCTTTTAAAGTGTCGTGAAATAGACGAATAGTTTTATTAGATCGTAACGTATAGTAGTTTAATTAATTACGATAACACCGCCTTGTCGAAAGTACACCACGCCTCTGCCACCGAACAAAAGGAGGCACACCTTCAGCACAATGGACGGACAACAACATCAAAATGGACATCCACAGTATCAGCAGCAGCCTCCACAGCCTGTGCCCCAAGCTGTGTCAGCGGACGTCATCATTGTCCACATTCTGCAACAACTCCAACAGCAGCAGGCAGTTACAAACCAGCTCCTTCAGCAACACCGCGAATCTACCCATCAGCAGCAGGGATTTCTGCAGCAACAGGAGAACGCGTTTCGAAATGCATTGTCTTCAATCAACGTCAGTGTTCCACCAAATCCGGAAGCTATTCTAGATTCATTAGCTGGCAATATCAAAGAGTTCCAGTTTGATCCTGAGAGCCACTGCACTTTTGCTGCTTGGTACGCGGGACATGATGATCTTTTCGCCAAGGATGCGCATAGACTCAATGATGGTGCAAAAGTCAGGTTGCTTCTTCGTCGGCTGGGAACAAACGAGCATTACAGGTTTGTGAGTTATATCCTGCCTAGTACCCCGAAAGATTTCACGTTCGCCATCACGATCCAGAAGCTTAAATCGCTGTTCGGGACCACGGAATCAATGGTAAAAAAAAAACGCTACTGTACGCTCACCATTACCAAAGCCTCAACTGAAGATTATGTCTCTTTTGCGTGTCGGGTGAACAAAATGTGTGTGGAATTTGAGTTGCCGAAGATGTCCGAACAACAATTCAAATGTTTTTTTCTTTTTGCTGCTCCTCTTTTCCCTGGCTTAGACCGTGTGACGGTCCATCTCGCCAACAATTCAAATGTTTAATGTACGTGTGCGGCTTGAAGGGCGAGTGCGACGCCGAAGTACGTACCAGGTTGCTGACGAAGATAGAGGACAGCAATGACGTCACCCTGGAGGCGTTGATAGAGGAATGTCAGCGGTTAATCAATTTGAAGAGCGACGCAGCGATGATCGAAGGCCCATCTGGACAGGTGCAAGCAATCCAAAGAGGTCCACAGCATCAGAATAAATTCCGGAAGCGGTCGATGGAGCACCGGAAAGTTTCGAAAATACCGGAAGAGGCGAAGAACGGTCCAGCAACACCGTGCTGGAACTGCGGTGCGATGCATTTCTGCAGTTTTAAGAACCACCGATGCGCCGAATATAAGCAGTTTGGCCACAAGGAAGGCTACTGCTCAAGTACGAAACGTTCATCCAAACCTGTCAAACAACGCAGCGGTAAGTTTTCCACTAAAACCATCGCTCTTTCAGTTGGCAACGTCCAGAGCAAGCGACGGTTTGTGCAGGTGGAAATCAACGGTGTTCCAGTGCGTCTACAATTGGATACTGCGTCGGATATCACCATTGTGTCCAAGGAAGTATGGAAGCAAATAGGGCAACCAGCAGTGGTTCCGTCAACGCAAATCGCCAAATCAGCATCTGGCGAACAGCTTGACCTGCAGTACGAGTGTGCCTGTGAAGTATCGATCATCGGTTCGGCTCATCAGGGTCGCATTTTCGTCTCAAATCGTCCACTGAACCTACTCGGTATCGATTTCATCGATAAGTTCAACCTTTGGCCGTTACCGATGGACAACTTTTGCAATCACGTCAGTGGAGTGCCGGTCGACAACAGTTCCCTGCAGAAAGCATATTCAAAACTGTTCAGTAGCACATTAGGGTTGTGTACGAAAACCAAAATCAAGCTAGTGCTCCAAGAGCCATGTCGGCCTATTTTTCGTCCTCGTAGGCCGGTATCCTATGCCATGCTATCCACGGTGGATGAGGAACTCGACCGTTTGAAACGTTTGAACATTATCTCTCCGGTGGACTACTCCGAGTGGGCGGCCCCAATAGTAGTAGTCAGGAAGGCAAATGGTAGCATCCGTATTTGTGGAGATTACTCCACTGGGCTCAACGAGCGGCTTCAATCTCACCAGTATCCGCTTTCACTACCGCAGGACATTCACGGTACGGTATTCAGCCAAATTGACCTGTCGGATGCCTTCTTACAGATGGAAGTGGATGAAAGCTGCCGCAATATGCTTACCATTAACATACACTGGGGCCAGTATCAATACAACAGGTTGCCACCCGGAGTTAAAGCTGCACCTGGTGCGTTTCAGCAGCTAATAAATACCATGTTGTCGGGACTTCCGGGAACTTCTGGTTACCTAGACGATGTCATCATCGGGCAAGGATGCTGAGGAGCACCAACAGAATCGGCACGCAGTTCTACAGCGGATTCAGGAGTACGGTTTCACCATACGTCCGGAAAAGTGCTCTTTTGCGAAACCTCAGATCCGGTACCTGGGTCATCTATTGGATCGGCATGGCCTCCGTCCGGATCCAACCAAGATTACAGCTATCAAAAACATGCCTCCGCCAAAAGACATCACCGGAGTTCGCTCATTCCTTGGCGCTATAAATTACTATGGGAAGTTTGTCGCAAACATAAGGACTCTACGTTATCCGTTTATCCGCATTATGATCCGAAGCTGGAAATAATAGTGTCCGCCGACGCATCGTCGTTTGGAGTTGGGGCAACCATTAGCCATAAGTTCCCCGACGGCAAGATCAAGGTCATTCAGCACGCGTGTCGGGCACTCACTGCAGCAGAACAACGCTATTCTCTGCCCGATCGCGAAAGTCTGGCAATCGTGTTTGCATTAACGAAGTTCCACAAGTTCGTATATGGAAGAAGATTCCGGCTTCAAACAAACCATGCTCCACTTCTACGAATATTTGGGTCCAAAAAGGGAATACCGGTAAACTCAAATTTGGGTTGTTCTCATTTGCCGTGTACTTGGCATCATTCTGCCAGATTTATCATTGTCTGATTTTTGATGGGCATGCATTTCAGTTGCTTTATTTGTCTTTCATTAGCTTGGTTCGAATCTATTAGTAAGTTCAGACTACAGAGTTATAACATGTCATAATAACTGTATGTGTATGCGTGTATGATAAGCAACGTTCTAAAAAAAATATTTGGAGAAACTTCAGCGGGATTTATTGTTTTCAACGTTTCGGATTTATCAAGAAAATACAAAATTACATTCAACTAAAGTAAACTTTTATTGTTCGACATTTCGTACAACTGCTAGTGCTAGTTAAAATTCCTATGAATAATTATAATAATATATTATAATCTTCATTACATCTTCTACTCTTAAAAACTATTATCCTTGGGACTATGATTTGAGTTGCTTAAAGCTAATGTCACAAAACCAAATCTAGTTTACAGCGAACAAGCACACAGTCGAAATGCTTTTCCCATTCTCCTCGTAGCTATGCTACCGAACACAGACTATCACAAACTCCTTCCTCGGACTTCCGTTCCCTAAATTGGCAACAATTGTTGGTTCCACTGATGAAGCACCTCTAATTCACAGACTAATTCACGTATGTTGGGTTCCTACTCAATTTCGTTCCATATTTGTATGATTTATGACTGCTTACATGGCGAGCAGAGCGGCAATTGCTGTACCGAGCAGGGTGACCAGCGTAACCGGAAGCATCTGGGCAGAACCGCTTCCCGAGTAATCAATTTCGGTAGTGTAGACCAGAGCGCGGGCGTTCAGTGGCTGCAGCGAGCGGTAGTTGATGACCAGTTCGTGTCCGGTCGGGTCGTGGATAGTTTTGAACAGCTCGACCTGATCCAACGAGACGGGGAGGCTTTCGGTGAACACGGTCCAGATGACGGACTCGGCGCAGGTTGGCGTGGTGAGGGATCCCTCGTACCGGAAGTAGGACGTGCGGTTTTTGGGAAGCAGATTATGGGGAGATAGCTTACCTTTGAGGGGTGCGCTCTTCCCGGCGGCATCCCGGATGTCGTTCGAGGTTTCCAGCAGTACGTCCAGGTGGGTGTTGTCCTGGTTGGATACGTGGAACAGAACTCCGATGACGGATACTGCATTCTTGACGGCGGCGGCTTCGGTGAGGCTAGCGTACCGGGAGTCATGGTGAACCAGGTGAAGCTCGAGACCGTAGCGGACACCGTTGATGGTGTGCTCGGAGCCCCAGTGGAAGTGCATCTGGTCCAGAACGAATTTACCTGGAAGACCTCCGCCGTACAGCGTTACCGAGGGGTCAGTATTGTCGATTTGGACTGTTGTTGAAAGGAAAGATTAACGCGTTATAGCTGGTGTTATGGGGACTGAGTAATTCTGAAAACTTACTGGAATGGCCGGTATTGGTCAGCTGCGCATTTCGGATCGGATTCATGTAGTTGCTGAACAGGAACGGGGAAAAATCTCCCTTGACGGCGGCTTGGTACGTCAGGTCGATCGGTGATTGGCGCCGACCGTTGTCGCATTGTCCACCCCAGTGCTCCGGATCTGTCAGGGGAAAAATGCAATGGAAAAGAATTGAAGCACATTAGAAGAAGATCCTAATGGCAAGTTGGAAAAGAGAGATAGCAAAAAATCCCCATTTGTTGGGATAAGCGCTTAAAATAATATTCGCAAATTGGTTGTGTCTCGTGGGGGTGCAACCCATGTGTGAATTGGCGTAATGGTGGAAAAACAAAAAAAAAATGAACCAAGTAGGCATGTCCGTGTGTTTGCTATTTTCTCTCGCATAAATGCGTGATTGACGTTTTGTCTTTTGCTATATCTATGTGAAAATAAGCTGAAAACGTTTATTTTGGTCGGATAAACGATATGTGAGGTATGCGTTTTGTATGCCGCCGCACAGCGCGAAGATTGACGGACGGAATGCACTGGTTTAGGCGCGGTATTTTCACCTATTTCGAAATTAGGAGGTGGCTCACCTCACTAAAGCTACTTATGTAAGCGAATATTTGGTTCGAACAGTCACAAATTATGTGAGAATACGGCTGTCAATGAGATTATACTTTGACAAGTGAAGAAGAGGGTCATCTCATTCTAAGCTAATAATACTTCTGGTGAGGTTACTTTTATAATTGAATTAAAGCGTGTCGGTGGTCGTCTCAATTTATATCACGCACGCATAATACGATGGCAAATGTAGACATGACAGACGCACGCCATATCATCACCGCCAAAGGTCACCACTAACAGCGGATAGTCAATTTGTCAGAGCATTTTTCCTGTTTGCAAACAATCACCGTCCACAATTGTGCAATACTTCGCACGGATTACAATTTACAAGCAGTGATCTGATCACAGTAGGGCTTGGATGTATTGTTGACATCAGCGATCACCCCGCACGCCTACTACTGTTCAACTACTGATAACCGTCTGGTGTTTGATGCGATGTTGATGACGACGATGACAGAAGTCGGTATACTTTCGCTACCACCCGTGTCGTCAGTCGAGTTTCATTATCAGTGGTCTATTTACCCTAGGCGCTACTAATTGTTTAATTACCCTCCAGATGCCCCATACGATTAGTCGGTAAGTAGGTAGACTGCTACCGCGCTAGGTAGGTACTCTCGATTGAATGGATCGATTTGAGCCCAAGTGTCAACGGCTCAAGGGTATGTTGGTGGGGCAGATAAATACGCTTGCACCCACTCACTAATTGTTGACAAAGTCGAGTTCATTTGCAGACCTAGATACCCCGGGTTCGTCGAACCGATCGAACCAGGAAGAGTGACATCCAGGTTCACGCCAGATGACCCATTATCAGTAATGCGCTATTTTTACGACGAATACAACATGTGTAGCGATTGATAATCCCCATTTTCTATGGCAATTACCAAGTACACGATGTGATTGTCTTGCGTTGCATTTCCTGTGCAGATATCAATTAGGAATGCAAGTTGACCCAGACCGAGAAGGCCCGTCTGGTCGGCGGCTGTCAGTCAGCTGCTCTGACGGTTGACCTCCTGCTGATTATGTTTTATAAAATGTTTCCACAGATTACTCGTACTTTGAGAATGGTTGAATATGTCTCTGAGACTTTTGAAGGCTTTTCTATCTTATGGACCGGTTTGTCTTGCTTGCATACATCTCGATCAACGAGAGTTAAATAAATGTCTATTTAAACTATTTTTGTAACTTGTGAATAAACTTGATAATAAAGAGTAACTCACGATAAATGTTCAATGTAGACGATTTGCTTTTGTCCATGCATACATACAAATTTCCGCAATGCTTACGCCGACCGCTTTCGCGTTTTTAGCTAATTGTTGGCTATTTTAAAGCCAGTTTTGACGTAGGATTACGTCTTTTGGCAACATATTGGGGGTGCAATTTTAAAATAACCAAAATCGACTGCGTTACGAAAAGTGGTCAGGTTTTGGCCACTCATATCTTTGTCAATTGCGGATGGATTTTAATTCTAAACAAGCTAATCGATTGAAAAAATTTCTACGGGTGCTTAAATGAACACTTTTTCAATTTTCAATAGGTCACTATTGAAAATTACACGAATGTCCAACGGTTGCAAAGGTGATCAAAACTATCACCGATTGCCTGCAAAAAGCGCTTTCCCAAAGGGGTAAGTTACTCAGCACAGTGTGCACATCCATCGGCACACATTTGGCACAATCTCGTAGGCATTGGATTGCTCATTAAATCAAATGGGAGCACTGCTGGACAGCTGTCATTGAAGTTGTTCACAACATTACGTGTTGTTTGACTGTGTATTTCAGAAACGTACTCTAATTGAGTATAGTAGAGGATCTTAGACCATCAATTCACTTCTCGGTTCACATTTAAACTCAAAATGTAGGCTGGCAGCTACGAACAGGAATGCAAGAACAATTGGGATGGATTGGATCATGCAGTGGTGGCTGTTGGATACAGAAAACTCAAAGGAGAAGATCACTGGCTAATCAAGAACTCCTGGTCCAACTACTGATACAACGTTGGATATGCTTTGATGGTGGTGAAGGGTAACAACTGTGTCCAAAAATCGTAAACGGCCGATTTAAATGTGCGGTGATCCGAACTGTCAAAACATGATTGTGCCATGAAAAGTAGTTCGGTATTGTTCAAGTGAGTTTGGTTTGGTAGATGAAATTGTCCTGGTACTGGTGATTTGCTGCTGAAAAGAAGGGTCAAAACAAGGGCACATCCTGCCACTCCCGATTCGTTGCCTCAACATAAAATTTTATGTTGAGGCAACGGTTCGGGAGTGGCAGCCACTGGACTTGTAAGGACTCTTTTTTCCAGAGGCAAATCACCAGCACTCGGTCAATTGGTCATCTAGCAAACCAAACTCACTTGAACATAACCGAACTACTTTTCACGGCACAATCACGGAATTTTTATTGCTTCCACAAAACCTAATTAACTTACATTTTTTAAGCCGAATTTCAGTGGTTGAGGTACTACGATCGAATTCTCCCGGAACTCCAACCCGATGGCAAAACCGGACGTCTTAGCTTGGGATCCTCTTTTTTGACATGATCCATTCCGACGTCGAAAACCTCCGAGAGCTTCTTGCCCGGAATCATCACCTGCAGCAGTTCCTCTTCCAGATTGAGATCGTTTCCGTCGGATTGACCAGCAACGTTCGGACGACATTGGAGCAGTAGGACTTGTAACGCGCACCCGAAGTGCAGATAGTTCTTGTCGCTGAATGCACTGAACTTCAAGCTGTAATTCAGAATCGATAATCTCCATGATGTGATCCGATAGGTTTATACGTCTACCGTCACCAGACAGGCCTTCTTGATGGTGATAACCTCGGAGTCCGTTTTGGAGCACATGATGTACCCGATTGGGACGCTGATGTCCATCGTGTCGAAACTCTTGTCCTTGACGAAGGCTCGCCACGATTCACAGAATTCTCCCGGAAAGTTGTCCTTGGAGAAGACGCCCAACGTTTTGCAATCCTTGGATCCCTTGATCGCTTCCAGCAGCTTTTCAAAATTGGCCTTATCTTTGTCGTTCTTATCCCGAACTAACAGCTTCACCGACGGAATGCCCTCCTCACCTTTCTTCTCGATCTGCTTCAAGAAGTCGATCTACCAACCGGTGGAAACTAACGATTTTAAATTGGCTCACTACTTGACTAGCCTATTGGTCCCAAGCAAATCGATTAACGTACCCCATTCTAGTCGAAATTCTATTGCTACACATTGTTTGTTTTGATTCGCTATGAAAGTTTGACAGATAAAATGAGGGGTTCGTGGATTTTCCTATGTTTCGAGGGGTGCATCGATTAGCTTGGGAGCGAACATAGTACCAGAGCTGAGCCAAAAAGTTGAGCACGTTTCTTTGGGACCTACTAGTCTTAGAGTTACCTCTATGGATCTACTTATTGCTGGTCAGGAAAAAGATGGACTTTTCGCACAGCACCGTAATCGTATCGGCCAGCTTGTATCGCAACCAGGTCTGCAGCGAGGTGGATTTGTTGTAGATGGTTTCTTCGTCTACGCCGACCGCCGTCAGAATGCAATCCACCTTATGCAGCTAATCATCATGGGAAAATTCTGGTTCCTTCCAGTTGGTGTAGAGGCGTTTTATTCGTCGGTAGAAGGAATCCTTTCCATCACGATATTCGACATTTTCGGGGCCGTTCAACTATCGCATCCAACGGTTTTCGATGCGGGGACTCTCCGGATTTTTTTTTCTTTGTTGTGTCCTATTGACCACCTGAGACCACCCACGGTCCATCTCACCAACATTCCTCCATGGTTGTCGCTAGACCGATGTTATCTTTGCGATTGCAAACCAAAATATTCAAGCTGTTAAATAAGCCATAATATTCGTATTTTACTAAAAATCGCAGCTTGCTCTATGATCGGCGCTGCCGGCACAATCGGCACATCTCTGGCACACTGAGAAAAATGTTGACCCAAGTTTGGTGTGCGGAATGACCTACCCTTGGCTTTCTCTAACACAGATTTCAAAATCGAATTCCATCCGATCTCGACGATGGTGGTCGTGTTATGGTGGTTGTCATCAGCAGCAGCAGCAGTGCTTTCTGTGCGTGGTGTTGAACATGTTTCTCCAGTACACAACGAAAAGCTACTCGGAAGCTAGATCGGATTCAGTAGCTCTTCGTGAGTCACTGTAGGCCATCTATGCCAAGCGCGTCTCCCTCGTCCCAAACAACCTATAGCTCGCAGGCTCATCTGTGTTGAACACCCTAATAGCTCAGCATTACTCAACCATCACGACAAAACGGTCCTTTTTAGAACCACCATAAATTATTGTTGTTTAAGAGGTGATTTCCATTGAACGTTCGCTCGTCTTGCTGCCAACCACAAGGCCCCCAAATCTCTTTGATAATTTTCCCAGCAACCGAACGTTTGTGGTCAAATGCGTAACAGGCCGAATACCACATGACCTTGTCAATTAACCAGAAAACTTTCGAATAAAAGTAAGGTTTTCTCCAGGACGCTAGGAAAAAGCAAAAAATCTCGAATTTATTCTAGATTCTTGAATATCTCGCGAATAGAAAATTTTAGCAAGAAACTCATTCAATCAATAATTTTCGCTTTTTTAAATTATCTATTGAATAAATCAAAAAATCCACGCGTTTTATGCACGAAAATGCGTAATTTTGTCATCAAAAAACGAGGCGTCTCCGTGATGGGAAAATGTGTTTTCCCTAACACAGTCGCCGAATATTAATACCTTAGAGGTAACTCTAAGACCAGAAGGTCCCGAAGAAACATGTTCAACTTTTTGGCTCAGCTCTGGTATTCTCTTCGGTCCCAAGCTAATCGATGCACCCCTCAAAACATAGGAAAATCCACGAACCCCTCATTTTATCTGTCACACTTTCATAGCGAATCAAAACAAACATAGTGTAGTACTAGAATATCGACTAAAATGGGGCACCTTAATCGATTTGCTTGGGACCAATAGGCTAGTCAAGTAGTGAGCCAATTTAAAATCGTTAGTTGCCATCGGTTGTTAATACCAAGCACGTAATCCTACGTCAAATCTACGGTTGTGTCTTGGATACAACCAACAATCAATACGAAACTAACGATTTTAAATTGGCTCACTACTTGACTAGCCTATTTGTCCCAAGCAAACGATTAACGTACCTCATTCTAGTCAAAATTCTAGTACTACGCAATGTTTGTTTTGATTCGCTATGAAAGTTTGACAGATAAAATGAGGGGTTATTGGTTTTTCTTATGTTTCGAGGGGTGAATCGATTAGCTTGGGACCGAAGAGAGTACCAGAGCTGAGCCAAAAAGTTGAGCACGTTATTTCGGGACCTTCTAGTCTTAGAGTTACCTCTATGATACAACCTCTTACTTTCTCGATCCGATAAACTAAACTTTTTAATCAAGATTTAAAGCAAAATACCAATTCGCTTTTTGGAACTAATCTTTCAAATTGACAGCCCGCTTCCGTACAAAGTCCCATCGAGGGGCGCTAGGATGGAGATTTTTGCTGATGCAAATGTACTTATTTGAAAATTTTGGGCTTCGGTTCCATTTTTAACGCAGATTACGAATATACATTTACCTCAGAAGAACCCAATTGTGATCACTTCATTACTTATTATGATTACTATTTGTTCGTCAAATTTCCCTCGTTGGGCTATGTTTATGTGGGCTACGTTTTAGTTGGGTTCCCGTTAGTTGGGCTGTAGCCAACCTAAATGGAAGTCAAACGTCATTTTTGACAGTACTATTTCTTTTCCGAGGGGTTCATGTATGACCAATTTGGATAGTTGCTAAAGGATTGTGATGATAATAAACAATCGGTGTATCCCTCAACCATTTTTCAGCTTAACAGCTCAGCCCAACTAACGAAAGTCTTTCACTAAGTGGACTGCAGGTTTTGAAATTCAAATAATTTGGTTGTCTGGTTGATCACAAGACATCAAGAGGAATATCAGACGACTAGGCCTCAGGCAGTTATCCAGAAGAGCTCAAGAACAATATTCCGTAAAATTGGGTTCGATGATTTTTATCAATCCAAATATTCTTACATCTATTGGTGGCCTAGATGGAAGTCGTTCCATATTATAAATTAAATCGGATTAAATCGCAATGCTTGTAAAACTGAATTTGTTATTATTTCCATGTAAGTGACCTCCATTTTTAAATATAAGATAGATAGATAGAGCTGGAATTAGGGCGTAAAAACTTTCGTAAACAATGACTTCTCTCGATGATTTCTAGAAACTCAAGGCTCGCCCAAGCAAATCAATGTCACCATCAGGTAGAGAAAGTCTCCCCCTACCCGATGGTTATGTTGGTTTGCGTGGGCGCGCCTTGAATTTCTATAAATCATCGAGAGAAGTCATTGTTTACAAAACCTGTTAGGCCCTAATTCCAGCTCTATCTACATTTTTTTTTAGGTTGTCAGTGGAAAATAATAAACAACTTTACACGGCGATGCACCCGCTAGTGTGCGTGCGTCGAAAGTGACTAATCTCTATACGTCATTTTTGTGCATTACAGTCAACTCTTCATATCTCGATATTGAATGGACCATTTTGATAGGGAGCGATCAAGACATAGAATAAGATTAGCCTACTAGACCGTTTGAAAAAAGTGGTCACATTTCGAAATATGGATCATCGAGATATGGAGAGTTGGCTGTATTTGTTTGTTGGTTGCTCGTATATTGCAGAAACTCCTTATCTGGAAATGTCGGTGGGGCGTTCTTGTGCAGTGGATTCATAGGTTGACGTTACAGCGATATTTTTAAAATGCAACGTCTTCCATTTGCAACATTATATTAACTTTTAAATTTCGATGTAAAATTCCGTTCGATATCTCATTCTAAAAATACCACCGAAGTTGACTTAACAATCTGCCAAAAATACCTCATCAACCTTCCTCAGTTTTTTTTCTTATATACCTTCATTTCCCGTTCGGCAGCTCAGACTAATAGCCACTGATAACCAGATTGTCCCGAAATTGTTTTATTACACCATCCAATTTCGGCGTCTGGTTCATAAACCACACATTATGGAGTGCGCCAACGTCAACCGACGAGGAGAGTCACCTAAACCGTATCGATTGCCTGGGCTGATTTTGGCTGGCTCCATATCGCCTCCATATGGAGGGTTTCGCAGATAATCCTCTGCTTTTTCCCGGTGCGTCAACGTCATCACCACAACCAACATACTGCATTTCGTGCGATGTCCGATTCATGCTTGGCCCCTACTGATAGTGCAACGCAGTGCGCTAAATTTGTCCGTTTTTCGGTAATTACATAATTTATGGTAGGGGGCTCGGCTCCGAGGCAGTTCCGATAACCTCCCGCCCCAAAAGGTGCAGGAAATTAATTCCCTCGGATCATTAATGGGATGTTTAACACGCCACTTTGATAACATAGTAAATTCTTTTGCGTGATTTACGACTTTTCTGCCAAGAAGGGGATTCATCTAGTTTGACTGCAGCATTTCCCACAGAACATGCAATCGCTACTATAGGTACCTACATGCGGCGTGTTCTGAGGAGAAAGAGTTGATTCCCTCTGTAGAAGCGCAAATGCAAATAAACTCAATTCCCCGCCTCCTGCGATAATCAAGATAATCAACGTTTGAAACGTATCCGCTATTTATCTCATTGCCTACCACTTGTGTGTGTGACACGGTTGCTTGCATGCCTTCACTACCTACTAGATTCTTTCTTTCAACGTATTTAGAAAGTTCTCCCCGCCATCAGTTGGTAAACAAACATCGAAAACTTACCGTTAATTACCCCATTGGGTGCGGGCGTCGGGTAGTGCCATTCGTCTGCTCGGATCGCAGCAGTGCCGAAAATAGCTGAAATGAGATGAAAGAGATTTTTGGTATGATAACAATGAGATAAGAACTAGATTGAATCTTTCTTTAAATGTTCAAGATGAATTAAGGAAGTTGTGACTGTTGCTTGGGTCGCAACATAAATGTCTGATACCTCTTTCCATAAAAAAATCTTGATTCGGATGAAAGCAGACGAAACTCGGCTCAATTGGCAGTGACAAACGACAAATTGTCTGGGTGGTCATTTTAGCGAATGCGCTTTTTTTTTTGAAGCCGCGGCGAGGATTACATTGAATGATTTATTGCGTAATAGGGCCATTTCGACCGTGAACTTGCTCGTTCTGGATTTGGGTAACATACGTAAACGGCCTGTCTAGGCATCTGCGGCACAGATTGATCACCGGAGCCGGACAGGTAGTCGTAAACATTTCAATGATAACGGTGAGCATGTGGAAAGATTTTAAAACAGACCAGTTGGCTTGCTGCAACAATCATGTCAAAATCACATGACACATACTGCGTCTCCATCGTCGTTTTCAATAATCTCCCACTCATTCTTTGCGTTTCATTTCCATTTATTTTTGTTATTGTGCTTCCTGATCGACAATCGAGTGCCCCCCCGATAAGACCGAATGACCACGCGACAAATCCAGGCGTCAATCAAACACAGTATAATCGCTATCTAATCTCGGAAGCGATTTACACCTCATCATCATCGTCATCGATTGTTTTTTGCTGGAAAAATTCAAACTACTTCCATAATTCCATAATAGCAGGGGCGGCAGCGGATTCAAGGCCATAGATATTCAAGGGACACAAACTGACAACTAAGTACACTTTGTTATTAACTCATCACTTCTATACAGCAGGTAGTCGAACGGGTCCTTTTTCTGTGGGCTCTGATTATGTCTTTGAACAACACAACCGTGAGCAAATGGTGGCTGCTATTTGATCTTGGGAGGCGTTTCCACATTACTGCCGTGTGATGACAAAGCGACGTATTCGCCACTATGGTCTATTTTCATTTTGGTGTGTATTTCCAAATGCAGCGCATCTAACATATTGTCTACATAAACAAACTCGATTTTAATATTTATGTAGGGGAAATGACGGCTTCGGCATGACAGACTATTTTCGGCAACCCAAATTGAAACACTATTTTCACTGGATTTTCTTACGAGAACACTTCGCTGAATGCATGCAAACGATTCTTTATGCTTTCAGCTTCAATTTGACTATATTTTTACCACTGAGAAAAAGCAATCTAGCAGGGTTTTCTTGAAATGAAACACACGCACTACAAATTGTAGCTGATTTCGAGTTGCCGATAATAGAACAGCAGATTTACATGCAGTTCAAATGGAACGGTTGCCGAAGAAAAACTGGTTGCCGACAATACTCGCTCTCACTAGAGAAGATTGGAGCTTTGTAAAAGCGTTTCAAAACAGTTTTTGACAATTCTTTCGACTGAAATTGTTAGAACAGCTGGCAGCAAAAGATTGTAAACAAACCAATACTGCATATGTGTGCGTTCCATAGAGAAAAAGGCTATAGAAAGAAGGTCGCTGCTTAGGTTGCCGAGAATACGTAAATTTCCCTATTTATGTATATTATAAGGTTTTACACCGTCGTTGTTAACTTCAATAGGATGACAGTTCAGTGGTACTGTTTATATGAACTTAGTTGATTTTTTTTCATGGGTAGATCTTCGCGATAATTTTTCCGACTGCAGTGAGAATCTTGTTAAGGAGGGGCAATTTTTTCTATGGTGCATTCAACTTGGGAGTACTCCAAAGTGCGTGGTGGATGGTGCTATCCACCCACCACCGTTTTCCTACTGCTCAATTTAGCTAATTTTATTTATTTTTTGCTCTGGTGGTGGTTCATCTTCCTCAGTGCAAACTGCTTTCAGACAGCCAATGGAAATTGGCAATTTAATCCCATCGACGATGTCGATAATGATCGGTTTGTCAAATAGTTGCGATAGTAGGGCTTTAACCGAAATGATACATTTGCTGCAATATTGTTGCCTTGGTGGTTGGATTCAGCTGATAATAGCACCACCGACAAACCGACATGAATGACCAATAAGAATCGCAAGGAGGCATGCAAACTGCTTGTCGACGTACAAGGTTCAAACAGTGCGCATAGCAGTAAACAAACAAAGTTCCTGGTTTTAGAATTTTTCCACGCTTCCATACTACCAACATGGGTATCACTGCGATTGTGTTTGCCCAGCAACTCGGTCGCTGTCTTTGAATTTCTGAACCCTGGAATCGGACAACTTTGATCGTCCGAAAAGACCGGCAGCGAAATGTTTGATTGTGTAGAATTGGCTCTGAAAATCCAGAACAACATTGAAAATAGCTTTGAAGTTTCTAAAATTTCTTGGAAGTTACATAAAGTTACAGTCCGAATAATATTTTGATAGAAAAATGTTGTAATAATGTTTTGCGTCATGTTCTTCTTTACAGGTTAAACATATAAACCAAAGAAAATATATTCTTCAGTTACCTGTCTGAAATTTTTTGCAGTACATTTTTGTATATTTTGAAGGCATTGTTTCAGTTTATTTTTTACTATTTAAAGGTATAATGTAAGCCTTATATGCTGTTGTAGTTACACTTTACTATTACCGTTGTAAGTACGTTGAACTTGGTCATTTTCAGCGAAAATTGTAGTTCTATTTTTTTTTTCGAATTTGACCTAAATGCCAAGGCTAACAGGATCATTAAAAAGGTTTGAAACATATGTAACGATTGGATCAAAAGCGCACAAAACTATTTTGACAAGCGAGTACAGTATTGTTAACGGAATGACGACTTGTGTGAAGGATGTCAACCCTGTCCCAATAGACTGATGCAAAATTTGACTTTTTCGCTCCACAGTGCTTAAATGGTTTCAAATCGGGTCCTGATTAGCCTCCAAAAGTTACAACTCATTTGATTAGAAACAGACTTCGCACAAACCACACGCACGCAAAGTTGGCAAAATCGCTAAAAGTTGCCAAATCAACCGTTACAAATGTAATTAAAGTGTTTGGGGAACTTTGTCGACAGCCAGGAAGTCTGGATCGGGGGGAAATCGAAAACCGGAAGCCGCTGAGACGACAAAGAGAGTTGCCGGTAGTTTCAAGCGAAACCCTAACCTCTCTCTCCGAGATGCCGCAAATATGCGTCGTCTACAACCGTGCATCGAGCCAAAAAACGAGCCGGACTATCGACTTACAAGAAGGTAGTGACTCCAAATCGCGATGATAAACAAAATACGACGGCCAAAGCGCGATCCCGGAGGCTGTACACGACGATGCTGACGAAGTTTGACTGCGTGGTAATGGACGACGAAACCTACGTCAAAGCCGACTACAAGCAGCTTCCGGGACAGGAGTTTTATACGGCAAAAGGAAGGGGAAAGGTAGCAGATGTTTTCAAGCACATGAAACTGTCAAAGTTCGCAAAGAAATATCTGGTTTGGCAAGCCATCTGTACCTGTGGCTTGAAAAGCAGCATTTTCATAGCTTCCGGGACTGTCAACCAAGAAATTTACGTGAAAGAGTGTTTGAATAAACGTCTGCTGCCTTTCCTGAAGAAACACGGTTGTTCCGTACTGTTTTGGCCGGATTTGGCATCTTGCCATTACGGTAAAAAGGCCATGGAGTGGTACGCCGCCAACAACGTGCAGGTGGTTCCCAAGGACAAGAACCCTCCCAACACGCCAGAGCTCCGCCCAATTGAGAAATACTGGGCTATTGTCAAGCGGAACCTAAAGAAGACCAAAAAAAATGCTAAGGGCGAGCAGCAGTTCAAGGCAAACTGGCTTTCTGCAGCGAAGAAGGTGGACAAGGTGGCTGTACAAAATCTGATGGCAGGGGTCAAGCGTAAGGCCCGGCAATTCGGATTTGGAAAAGCGGAAGCCTAACTGAATATTTTTCCTGAATTTTATACTAATTGAACTTGAAAAAGAAATTTAATTTGATTTTTTAAATAAACGATTTCACCGATTTACACGCGTTTTCCCTTGACCAAATTTTGACCGTATCACCCTTTAGATAATTTTCTCAGCTACAACTTTGATGAAGATCGTTTCTATGTAAAACGAGACAGGAAAAAGTTATTAATTATTTAAGAGATTGGTAAACTTATGACATGATCAAGCAGCTGCTCTGTAGGCAACACTGTATTTTGCAGTGTGACATAGTAGCCATGATTTTTGTGTCCTATTCAACGCCCCAGAAACACCAATGTTGCCTGCTGAGCAGTTGATTGAGCATGATCATAAGACATCAGTGCATTGAACCATGAATAACTTTCGATCCTTGCATTTAATCAAAAAGTGGTCTTTAGCAAAGTTGTAGCTGGGAAAATTTCCTACAAGTATAATTGAAAGTTTTTGAAACAGATCGATGTGGTGAATTATTAGATAGACATGAGCAAAAATCTTGGTTTTACCATAGTGATTCCCATACAAACTTCAAATGGTTTGTGCCATCTCAGTTTCTCACCAAATGGGTTCAAATTTTGAGAGGTTAGTCAGGATCCGATTTGGAATCATTTAAGTATTGTGGAGCGAAAATTTCAAATTTTGCATCACTCTACTGTCCCAATGTACCGCCAGTCGGGGTGACAGAAAAAGATGCCGAACATTCAACATGTTTTAAAGATGATACAAAGGACAAACCCGAGTTTATTGCAATTTTTACATCAGGAATTTTCAGTTCAGCTTGCCCCTCCAAACAGCAGATTGTTGCAAATCTTACACCATAAATTTTCAATACAAACTTGCCCCCAGGAGATTTTGCACAGAAAATTTAAATTGACCAGAACGATGCAAATTTTCCACCGTTAATGTTCAATAAAAATTGCTTCTCCAATCTTCTGATTGGTGCAAATTTCCTTTTTACATTTTCCATCAGACATTTTCAATATAGCTTGCTTCTCCTATCATCAGCAAGTTTTTTACCAAATAAAGCTGCCCCTATTTTCAGATTTTTTATCATAATTTTTCAGTAAAGCAACTTCCCT